GCGAGGGGGCCGGGCGCCCCGCGCGCGGCCGCCCCTTCACGGGAGCCCTCCTTTCCGCAGCCAACGCGACGCTGTTCGATGCTCCAGCGCCGGTGGCACCGAACGCCACTAACGTTTCTGTGGTGAGTGGCTCCGCGCACCGGGAATCGCGGCCGCGGAGGGCGGATCCGGGGGGGATTTCCCCGCCGCAGGGGCTGGGGCTGCTTTGGGACAAAAAAAACTCACGTTGGAAGGGGCTAATGTGGCTCTTCGGGCTCTTTTCTCCGCAGTACAATGCTATTAACCTCACAGCTCTGGACTGGACGCAGCTGAGCAAGAAGGAGTGCCTGAAATACGGCGGCAGCCTCGTGGGCAAATCCTGCAAATTCGTGCCGGACCTGGCCCTCATGTCCTTCATCCTCTTCTTCGGCACCTACTCCATGACCCTGACGCTGAAAAAGTTCAAGTTCAGCCGCTATTTTCCCACCAAGGTAAGAAAAGCGCCGGGTGCCGCCGGCTTCCGTCTCTTTTCCATGGGAAAAGCCGTCCTCGTGGCTGCGGGAGAACGTGGAAGCCAGGAGCTAAGCGGAAAAGGGTTGGTATTTCTGTGTGCTGCCTCGGGATTTACCTTGCCTGCTAGAAAAGAAGATGTTTGGCATTGGGATCAGTGGGGATTGAGATTGGGATCACTTAAGGATTGGAATTGGGATCATCTATGATTGGCATGGGAATCAATGAGGATCGGCATCGAGATCAGTGAGCGTGTTCGTATTGGGATAACTTCTAATTGGAACTGCGATCAACGGGGATCATTCCTGATTGGAATCGGGAGCAATGAGGAAAACCCTCCTTGAGGTTTGCAGCGATGATTTGCTCCTTGCACGTCGTGTAACGCATCGCCGTGTCCGAAGGAAGCCAAGAGCCTTCCCGCTCGCTAGAGCTGCATTCCCAGACCTCGGGCACTCGCCGCCAGGACAGCCGGAAGCGTCGCGGGCAGCGGGAGCCGCATCCCGGTCCCCTGGTTGTACCGATGTCCCCCGGTTGTGCCGCCGTTCCGGAGCCCGGTGCTGCCTTCCCTGCGCCCCTGTAACCTCCTTTTCCCCTCCGCTTCCCCCTCTGCCTCCAGGTCAGGGCCTTCATTGCCGATTTTTCCAATGTCTTCTCCATCCTGCTCTTCTGCGGCGTAGACGCCTGCTTCGGACTGGACACCCCCAAGCTGCACATCCCCAGTATCATCAAGGTCGGCACGCGGCGGCCCTGCCTCTCTGCTCCGCTTTCTTCCAGCTGCTTCCCGAGCACCCTGCGGCAGCCGGGAAAAGCCCCCCGGAGTCAGGCTCGGGACACCCCGATGCCACCGGCGCCCTCGGCCCAGGGCGCTCCGCATGGCACTGCGGCCGCCGTCTCCGCCGCGCTGTGAAACGGCGCTTTGCTCTCCTCCTTTCAACGGGAATATTCTAACTCTGTGACTTTTCTTCCTTCCCTTCCCCTTCTATTTCTTCCCACCTCCTTTTCTTTCCTCTCTCTCGCTCGCTGCAGCTGCGCAAGCTTATTAGCGATTTCTCTATCTTTATGTCCATACTAATGTTTGTGGGGCTGGATGTGCTCTTTGGACTCAACACCCCAAAGCTCCAAGTGCCTACCGACTTCAAGGTAAAAGCAACTAAATCCCTTTCCGGCAGCGTTGCCCAAAACATCTGTATCCTGAAGCGGGTACAGCTGTTGCGTGATGAGGGGGGAACTGTTGCGGAGTGCTCAAGCTTCCAGTGGGGAATTTGGGAAGGTTTTGTTGGGATTGGTGAAGCCACCGCGCTCTCCTGCGTCCCCCGCAGCCCACCCGGCTGGACCGCGGCTGGTTCGTGTTCCCCTTCGGCAAGAACCCGTGGTGGGTTTACCTGGCGAGCGCGCTGCCGGCCCTGCTCGTCACCATCCTCATCTTCATGGACCAGCAGATCACGGCCGTCATCGTGAACCGCAAGGAGCACAAGCTGCGTGTGAGCGCCGGGGGCGCTGCCTTGCAGAAAGCGGCCGGCTACCACCTGGACCTCTTCTGGGTGGGCATCCTCATGGCCGTGTGCTCCTTCATGGGGCTGCCCTGGTACGTGGCGGCCACCGTCATCTCCATCGCCCACATCGACAGCCTCAAGATGGAGACGGAGACCAGCGCGCCCGGCGAGCAGCCCCAGTTCCTGGGCGTGAGGTGAGGAAGGAGCGGCCGCGCTCTTCCTCGGGGCGCTCCCGGCGAAGCGCAGGGTCAGCCCGTGTCCTCCCCTTGGCAGGGAGCAGAGGGTGACGGGCATCATCGTCTTCGTGCTGACGGGCATCTCGGTCTTCCTGGCCCCCATCCTGAAGGTAAAACCAAAAAAATCCTGCTTGTCCTGCTGGAGCAATGCAGGGAGGCGGCTGAAATCCCATTGGGGCTTGAGTTTTCCCACTGTTTTCCCACACGTCTCTCCGTGTGCCCGCAGTACATCCCCATGCCCGTGCTCTACGGCGTCTTCCTCTACATGGGCGTCGCGTCGCTCAACGGCATCCAGGTGAGCTGTCCCCATGGGGCAGAGCCCCCAGCGTCACCCCGTGCCGGGCGTCAGGGCGGCTCTTCCCGCCGCGCGGCGTCACCCGGCGTCGCCCTGACGCGCCGGCTCCGCAGTTCTGGGACCGCTGCAAGCTCTTCCTCATGCCGGCCAAGCACCAGCCCGACTACGTGTTCCTGCGGCACGTGCCGCTGCGGCGCATCCACCTCTTCACCCTGGTGCAGATCGTCTGCCTGGCCGTGCTCTGGATCCTCAAGTCCACCGTGGCGGCCATCATCTTCCCCGTCATGGTGAGGCCCGGCGCCGCCGGGGCGCCGCGACGCTCCGCCGGAGCCACCGGCTCCGTCACCTCCCTTTCTTCCCGCCTAGATTTTGGCCCTCATCCTGGTGCGGAAGCTGCTGGACTTCGTCTTTTCCCAACACGACCTGGCCTGGATCGATAACATCATCCCCGAGAAGGAGAAGAAGAAGGAGGATGACAAGAAGAAGAAGAAGAAGAAGGGCAACAAGGGCGACAGCAGCAGCGATGAGGAGGTGTGGGCGCCGCGGGCCGGGGGGGCTCCTCTCGCCACCGGGACCTGCGGATTTTGGGGACGGATGTGTCTGGAAACCTGTCAAAATCTGGGAATGGCCGAGCTTCCTGGGCTTCGGAATGCCATAGATTTGATGCACTGCGGTGTTCCTGTTGGGCCAGTGGATTTGAGGATGGAGCGTCCTCGGTGTTCCGTGATAGCCAGAAAATCCCAGCGAGAGGAAAATGGCAATGGAAAAAGGCGGGAAGAGGCAGGGATGAGGACAGGGCCCCATGAGGCTGCAGGGTGCTGCTGCCATAGGGTTTTCCTGGAGAAAAGCCACGCAAAACAGGCCATGGAGGCAAGGATGTGCCAGGATCTGCACTCAGAGGAAGGCGGAGCCCCCTCATCCTCATGCACCGACCTCCTGGCAGCTCCAATAAGGAGCATTTGGCATCCAGGAGGAAGAATCTCTGGATCCGGGCTCCTCGGAGCAGCTCCTGGCACTGTGCTCACTGCCTTTCCCTGCTTTCTTCCCACCTCCTTTCCTTTCCCGTCACTCCCTCCTGCTTCCTAATGCCCTTTCTGGAAAACTCGGCTCTGCCCGGGTGCCAATCACGCTAATCCCACAAATCCTAAAGGAAAACAGGAGCCGTTGTTCTTTCCTATGGATAATGCAGGCAAGGATGCAGGAAGGTGCAGAGCATTCGGGGCTCAGGCCGGGGATGAATGAGCAGAGTTTGGGAATTGCCAGGGCTTCCCGGGAAGCGTTTCACGCCTGTCCGTCTGTCTGTCCTTCCCCCCCTTAGGAAAGAGGCCCTCCGCCGGGAGCTCTGCGTTCCGATTCCTCTCCCAACAGCTCAGACCTGGATCGCAGGTAACGGGCACGGAAAAGGCGGCTCCGAGCCCCATCCCGACGGCCTTTTGCTGGGAAAAAAGCCCCTTTCCTTCATCCTCCTCCTCAGCATCACGCTGCACCTGAAGATCTCCTGCCCGTCGTCTCCCGCCTTCAACTACTCGCGCAGCCCGCTCTGCGCCGTGCCGCAGGTGAAGATAGAGATGGAGTCGGACTACGAGGACACGGACACGGAGAAGCAGCCGCGGGACATGGGCAGCGAGACCACGCTATAGTCCCACGCGGCGCTTCCGCGGCCACTTATATATATATATTGATATCTAGATATTTATATATATATATACATATGTAAAAAGCAAAGGGGGCTTCTTTTTTCTACGGGACGGACTGAGGAGACCCGCGGCCCCGGAGGCTCCGCTTCTCCGGTAGTTTTAGCGCAAGCAGCTAGACGCGCTGTTGACTCTCCTCCCTTTCCGCTGGACGAAAGCGTCGCCGCCGGCTCCGGAATGAGGTGGAAAAGGCGGAAAATGGGACTTTTGGAGCCCACGGGCTGCCGGCCGCGGAACATCCCGCTGGGATGGAGAAGTCGGAGGGAGCTGGAGCGCCGGGATGTGGCCTGGAGCGCTGCGGGGCAGGTGTGCTTTTTGCAAGGAATCAGGAATGTTTTTTGCATGGACTCAGAAACGGTTCTGGCAGGGACTCGGGAATGGCTTTTGCAAGGAATGACAAATGAATCTTGCAGGGATTTTCTGCAGGGAATCTGAATGTTTTTTGCAAGGAATTGGGAATGTTTTTTGAATGGAATCAAGAACGATTCCCACAGGGAATCCAAATGGTTGCTGCAGGGAATCAGGAATGATTCCTGCAGAGAGCCAGAATTGTTTTTTTGCAGGATAGACGCATGTTTTTTGCACTGAGTTTGCTCCGGGTGCTGCTTTCAGCTCTTCCCACCGCGCTGCTCTCAGCAGCCCTCTCAGAGCTGCTTTTCCCCCGTTTCTCTTTGCTCTCTAGCTGCATTTCCCTCCCTTTGGAAGCTCCACAGAGTCCCCTCTCCCCCATGCCCAGGCTCAAAGCCACCGCACGGGGCTTTTGGGGGGACTTCAGCCTTGCAGAGGGGCTGAGCCTGCGCACGGAACCGACCCCGCTGGTTTTTGTAAATAGTTGAGCAGAGGCAACAGAGCTGCCCCTTCCTATTTATGGCAGGTTTGGGGGTTACTCCAGCTGCTGTTGAAGCAGAATTCACTTCCATTAACCCCTCATGTGTCTCTGCTGGCATCTCCCCCTCATCCCTGCACATAGGCTGAGGATTCCAATGGCTTTGGAAGGCGCTCGCTCCCTCGTGCCGGTCCCTCCCGCTTTCCAGTGCCCGGGGAAGGCCTCAATGGGCTCCCCTAGACGTTGTCTAGAGCACGGCTTGTTCCAACCAAACCTGTGATTTTTTTTTTTTTTTTTTGCAGTTTCACATGTGGTTTCTATTTTTTTTTTGTATAAGGCAGCACTGGAGTGTAGCAAACCTGCATCCATCACACGACCACTTTAGCCATTTTGTATTTGTCATTACTACAACCCAATAAATCTCAGTTGAAATTAGCCCCCGCTCTCGGTGTGTTTCTGGCGCCAGTCTGCTCTACTCCTCGCCTTGAATTATCAGCACTTCCATTGCAGGAAGGAGCTGTGGAGGTTTCTGCTGGTGGGGTCAGCAATGCCTCACCCGTGCCCCCAGCTTGAGCCTGATAACAGCAATTGAGCTTCAAACCCCCCTTTCTGTTTGCAGAAAGGTGCTGTCAGACCCCACCGAGCCCCGGATTTTTCTCCAGGCTGTTACCTACCGGCCTCCTCTCCCCTAGGAAGCAGCCACGAGACTGGAGCCTACGTGAGCAGGGCTGCACACAACAGGCCGGGGCTTCTGCAGACGTGACACCACCAGGTAAGGTTGATTTTTCAATGCTTAATCCTAGCTCGCAGGCCTGGGGGGCAGAGGAAGGTTAGGTTAGGTTCTCTTATTTTCTTCTTCTATAATTACAGCAGAGGAGCAGCTGTTGGGGACAAAGGGAAACATCTTCAAGGGTTTGTTCAGACTAAGGGGAGGTGTCTGCTTGATGCTGAGCAAAGTGTGCACAGAATTTGTGTTTGGCCAAACTCGGGGGGCAAAGCCAGACCCTGCCCTGCTGCAAGGCAGCCAAGATTTGCCTCAGCTAAGGGGTTCTTTCCTTTTTTGTGCAAACACCCCAAGTGCAAACTCCCCAGGCAGTCTGGTTTGCTTGGAAATAATTCCAAGACACATTTTTTTTCCCCTCTCACTTTTATTTGGTTAGCCTGGATAATTCACCAGACTCTTGCAGGGTTCCCAAGACAGTCCAGGGAAGCCCTGTGTGTGGTGCAGTCACCACCAGCCCCCACGTTGCTCTTTGGTTAGAGGGGAGAAAGGAGTTTTAACAGTCGCCATCCAACTAGCAAATCCCAGCCTAGCTGCACACTAGAACACACCTCACCTGCTCTACTGCTGCTCAGGGACACGGAGAGGCTGAGCACAGGCATATGGCTTGTTTCAAGTAAATTCTACAAAAAAAGAATAGCTTAAACTAAAAGAGAGTTGAGTAAACGAGTTTGGAGTGAGTCCGCCCCGACGGGGCATTTGTGGGCACAGAGCCACGACGGAACTAAACGCATGTAGAGTTCAGCTTCGAATAAATACCTATGACCTCAGGAGAGGAAATCCATTTCCAGACAATAAATAAAAAAATAATATTGCATTTTCTATCGGCCTGCTTGGGAGTCGATCTGGAATGTTGCTCTCGGTGCTCCGCAGAGTCCCCGCGTTACGCGCTCAGCGCTTTGAGCTCTTTGGGCCGCAGCAGCTTCTTGGCAGCGATGATGGTGTTCTTCATGAGCATGGCCACCGTCATGGGCCCCACGCCGCCGGGCACCGGCGTGATGAAGCTGGCCTTCTTCTTCACCTCTGTGGGAGGAGAGGTAGCGCTCGGCGATTCGGCAGCGGCACCAGCGCTCGCTGCCGGCTGGAGGTGCCACCGGCAGCATCGCTCATGAGCTCAACTTCCTCAGGCTGCCAGGGTTCAACCTGGAGACACCTCTGTCCTCTGGAGATGTCCCCTGGGCCATCCCTGCTGCTGGCTGAGCCCAAGTCAGGGGAAAAGCCCCATCTAGTAATCATGGTGGGACGTCCACAGCTGGACACCAGCTGCATCTGCTCCATCCCACCACCCTTAACCTTCTCTCCCACTTCTCAGCGCTTCTTAAATGCCCACAGCACCAGATTCCAGAGCCTTTTTTACCTTCAAAATCCACGTCTCCGACCAGCCTGGGTTTGGCAGTGACGGGATCCTGCACCCTGGTGATGCCCACGTCGATAACCGCGGCTCCTTCTTTGATCATGTCAGCGGTGATGAGGTTGGGGATGCCTGGACCGAAGGAAACGGGGCTGCTGGAGCTGTGTTTGCTGCAGCCACAGCACCCCGCTGCGTTTCCTTAGCCCATCCCAACCCAGCACGCAGCTGCAGCGACGCTCCTGCACGAGGCCCCAAGCAGCTGGGGGACCCTCCTGCACCGGGGAGGCAGCAGCGTCACCCAAAGACCCCAGCAAAGCAGGGGGACGGGGAGGGAGCAGCAGCTCCCGGTCCCCCCAGATACTGCAGAGCGAGGAACTGCAGCTCCTGCAGTAAACTCTTGGGTGCCTCCTGCCTCGCTAACCCTTTCTTTTTCTGCGGCTTCTGCTGCCTCTCCTCAGCTGCCAGCAGCTCCACCTTCCCCCCCCCAGCACTTTAATCCTCTCAGGATCCCGGTTCTTTCTACCTTCTCTCCAAACTGTGTTTCATTCTGCCCTCCCTGCAGGCTCACACCAAGCACAGACACCCCTGATCAGCAAAACACTTCTGCAAAGGAGTAGAGTCCTTCAGCTCGAGCATCTCCAGCCCTCGGGTAGAGCCCAGCAGCTTGAGCAGTTCCTGGGGCTCTAGGGATGGAGCTGGAGCCATCCTTGGGCATCTCCATTGCCTCTGGGTAAGCAATTCCCATCTTTGCACTTCCCATGGAGCTACCCAGGTGTTCAGGAGGCTGCCAGGGCTGTTCGGGGCTCTCACGCGGTGCTTGGGAGCACAAGTCACCCTGCCAGATGTTCCTTTCCATTCCAAAGACACGCAGAGAGCTGCAGGCAGCTCTGCTGGCGGGATGGACCACAGGGCTAAGCTCATCTCGGGCTCCACCCACCCCCCCTCCCCGCCCCCCGCCCGCAGCAGCTGCAAACAGCCATGGAAGAGCCGGACACTTCTGGGCTACCAAAGCTGCTCAGGTGAGAGGACACTTGGCACCGACTGGACTGTCACCTCGGCAGAGATTCCCAAAGGAGGTGGCAGCGCAGGGTCCCCCGTGCCCCAGGGCTGCTCCGTGGCAGTCGGGTCTTACCTGCTGCTGCCACCACGATGTCGGCACGGATCGTGTGCTGCTTCCGCTGCTCGGGTGTAGCGGTGGGATATCGTCACCGTGGCGTCACCTGCAAGAGCTGCCACCAACACCGTGTCACCGCCGCTACCGCCTGACCCCCGCCATTCCCATCGCTCTGTCCTCAAGAGCGTCTTGGCATCTCGCAGGAACATCAAGATCTTGATGATCCATCACAGGGAGAATCCCAGGAGGGCTGAGGTTGGAAGGGGTCTCTAGGGATCCGGTCCAACCCCCTGCTCCAGCAGGGACACCCAGAGCACAGGATCCATCCAGGCGGGTTGAAGATCTCCGGAGAAGGAGCTTCCATGGCCTCTGGGCAGCCTGTGCCAGGGCTCTGTTCCCTCACAGAAAAGAAATTCCTCCTCACATGGAGATGGAGCTTCCTGGGTTTCCATTTGTACCCATCACCCCTTATCCTGTCACCACCGAGAAGAGCTTGGCCCCATCCTCCTTACACTCTCCCTCAGGCATTTACAGCCAACAGAGGGCAAGGACTTCTGGAGGTGGCCACGAAGCCTTTGAAGGCCACCTGGGGCAGAGCAAGCCCCTCAGCCACAAAGGCCCCAAGCAGCTGTCACCGCCCCGACGACAGCAGGGCCCCGCGGGGACACCGAGGGCTCCTCCCTACCTCCCGGGCGCTCGTGCCGGCCGTCCGTGTGCAGCAGCATGGCGATGGGCATCCCCACGTTCTTGGACCTGCCGGCCACCACCACGTTCCTGCCCAGCGTCGGGATGCCTGTGGCATGTGAGAACCGGTGTCAGGGCGAGCGCCAGCCCCAGTGCCCGAGGGCCACGGCCACCTACCCGTCCTCTTGATGATCTCCCACACGCCCCAGGGGGTGGCCGGCAGCATGGAGTCCTGGTCCAGGCACATGCGCCCCACGTTGATGACGTGGAAGCCGTCGACGTCCTTGTCCGGCGTCACGGCGTTGCAAATCCTGCGCTCGTCGATGTGCTCTGAAATGAAGCAGTGCTACAGCTGCAGCTCTTTCCTCTGGAAGCTGCTGAAAACTTCCAACAAGGTCAGAGCCAACTGCTCCCACCAGAAGGGGCTGGAGGCCCACGGGACAGCAGCCTCTTCAGGGCTATTTTAGGTGGCCCCAAGTGTCACAACCAAGTTTGAGCTCTGACTTGGGAAGGTGACACCAGCCACGCACGAAGAGACTCCTGCAAGTCCCCGCAGTGAAATGCAGAGAGCAGCTGCCCCATGGAGCTGCTCAGGCCACTCCTTTGGGCTGCAGCAGGGCAGACGGCAGCTCTCCTGCCATGGGGTGATTCCCATGCTTCGCCCCAGCTGGCACACACAGATGCTTCCCAGCTCTTCCCAAGAGGCAGGAAAGACGGAAGCCTGGCTACTCACCAGGCAGAGGAAGCTGCACCAAGAGGCCATCCACGTTGGTGTCGTTATTTAGCCTGCTGATGAGGTCCAGGAGCTCCTCCTCCGTGACGGACGCTGGCTTGAGGATGGTTTCGCTGCTGATGCCTGCGCGGTCGGGCAGAGCGCGGCGTTAGCGCCTCATCCCTCACCGCCCCAAGCAGCGGCACTGCGGGAGGACCATCCAAAAACACCAGGGTCCTCCCAAGCACGCAGAGCCTTTGGGAAGGGGGTGGTGGGGTGAAGACGCAGCTGCACATTCCCAGAGACCCTCCCGGGGGTCTGGGATCGGATCACGCGGTGCCACAACCCCCCTTGGCAAACTCGGGGCACCGTAGGGCAGCTGAAGGAGCAGGATTTGGGCTCCCAAGTTCGGACAGAGTCACAGCAACACGCTGGACCAGGACTGCACCTTGAGCAGCTGAGCAAAAGCAGCAATCAGAGCTCCCCATGCTCAACGTGTGTGGGGACCACACTCCAGAAAGAGCTTGATGTTGCATTATTTTTTTAGTATTTTAATATTTTTCCAGGGCACATGCAAACCACACCCGTTACACCCCAGCAATGCTATGGGGGCAGCTGCCGGGGTAAATGCTGACTGGAGAGGACCTGCCACCCTGAGCGCTTCCCCCAGCCAAAGCGGGACATTCACCAGCCCCTCGTCCCCTCTTTCCATGGCCAGGACCCACCTACGTCAGCTGCTGCCTTGGTTTTGTTGAGGACATAGGAGTGACTGGCCGGGTTCTCGCCCACAAGCACGACGCTCAGATGAGGCCTCTTGTTCCCGGCTGCCACCCACTGCTCCACCTCGTGCCGGGCTTCCTGCCGGATCTGCCGGGCCAGCTTCCTCCCGGAGATGACGACCGCGTCGTTGCTGCGGGAAAGAGAGCGTCAACGAAGCCAAAAACACCTCCGATAGCACCAAAGCTGTGGGCAACCGCCCCTCAGAAAAAGGGGCAAACATAACTGGCAAAAATGAGCAGGAAAGCAGGAAAGGTTTCAACCATTTCCAGATAACTTTGTGGCTTGAAAATTTGACACTGGGCAATGAAGCTGTTGGAGAGGCCAATTCATTTGTGCAAGCTGAAAAAGCTTGGGGGGAAGAAAAGCATATCCTCTGGAAGGGTAAGGCGGCAGCGGTCTCTTCTCCGGCACGTTGCGGGTTTGCTGCTCGTTCCCGTTTCCAGCAAGCCGGTCGCCCGGCCCCACTGGCCGCACGGCTGCTCCACTACAAAGGGTCGTCCCACGCAGCCAAGTTTCCACCTGGAAGGGCCTATTGAGCAACCAGGGATCGCGCCTCCCACGAATCCCTCGGGAAGGGAGAGGCTCATCCAGGACCTTTCCAGGCCCTCAGAGCTCCAGGGACACCTGGTTCCACCCCCCTGCCAGGCTTGAGGGCCTCCAACCTTCTCCCAGAGCTGGACAGGACGGATTTGCCACCGCAGGGAACGGCTCCTCGCTCACGTTTCCAGGCTAAATCGGTAACGGGAACGCACAGGCAACGCCAAGAGCATTCCAGGCAACTGGACACCCGGCGGGATATAGAAAGGCTCGCGGGAAGCGGAGCCAAGGCGGGCGCAGCCGCCCGGGGATTGCGCACAGGCCGTTCGCCTCCGTTCGGCCGCACGTTTCAGCTCCATCTGCACATGGAAGTCGCGCTCGTTCCTCGCACGCCTCCTGTCTGCCCCCTCCGAGCACCGTTTTCCTGCCAGACTTCCAGCTCCAGGAGCTCTTAGTGCCCAAGGCTAGATACGGCCCTGAATATTCCCAGATATTCCCGCAATCCTCACCCCAAGCAGGTGGGGATGCTCCATAGGGGCCCCCTTCCCAAACCACAGAGACAGGGCGATTCCTGGAGCCAAGCAAAGCTCCAACAGCCCGAGAACCTACCGGATCCTTTAGGGAAATCCAGGATGCGAGCGGTGCCGTAGGGAAGCACAGAGCCATGGAACTGCCCTTGCCACCCACCCCCAGGACTATCCATTGCTGCAGTTTCTCCACAAAAATATCCCACCCTGGAGCAGCCACCTGCGCTGCAGGTTCCCAAGGGATCTCTCCAAGATCCCTCGCAATCCCAGCACTTTTCCAGCTTTCTCCAAGGGTAACAGCACGAGCCTCATCCCGCAGTCTGGGCAGCGTCTGGTCCTGCACGGAGCCACCGGCAGGTGAGACACCCCTTATACTTAACACGTTTTTAAGGAGTAGGGGATACTTAGGGAATCAGCGAGTGCCCATTCCCAAAAATGGGAAAAAACGGAGGTTCCAGCCCAACTGCAGCAGTTCCCTGGACGGAGCCCCCCGGTAACGCGGCCGGGGAACAGCGCGGGCTCCACACGCAAGGCGGGAGCGGGATTTCATCAGACGGCAGCGC